TATTATTATTATTATTATTATTGCAAGCCATCAAGTTGATTCTGACTTTTGGCAACCCTTCCCAGGGGTTTCTAGGTAGAGAATACACAGAAGTGGTTTATTGTTTCCTTCCAGGGGTGCCCTAGGGCTGTGCAGCTCCCCCAAGGCTACACAGGCTGGCATTTCCCTTAGAAGGCACAGTGCGCAATCAAACTCCCAACCTCTGGCTCAAACAACTGAGCTATCCAGCTAGTAACCATTGCATCCTTAATGAGGATGAATAACCAGGTTGTACTTTCAGTCCAAATACCATGATCTGTGAAAGATTTATTGGATTCTGTTTTTTTTTTTTTTAATCTAGGTTCCCCCACCCTTGGACACAGCTTCTAATTGTATCTGTTGGCTGGTTTCTGCGATGACTCATGTTTCAATTCATTGGTTCCGCAAAGCCCTTCGCCTCCATGACAATCCTGCTCTGCTGGCAGCCCTGGGAGACTGTGCTGAGGTCTATCCTGTTTTTATCCTTGACCCCTGGTTCCCGAAGAATATGCGGGTCAGTATCAACCGCTGGCAGTTTCTGGTTGACTCTCTGAGAGATCTGGATGAGAGCCTCAAAAAACTGAACTCAAGGCAAGTACCTTATAAGCCCGTCATAAATAATGGAGTGGAACTGGTAAAGCCACTTCTTAAAATCTCACTTTTATTTTTATTTTTTTATTTTTTATTTTTTTTGGAAAGCCCTAATATTCAATCATAGTTGGAGTGTTCCAGAATGGAGAAGGCTGCTACGGACTCTCTCTGATGGCTTAAACAGAAAAGACAAACGGAAAGATACAATTCTACAAGATGATCTGTGCATAAACTCTGTAATTCGGATAACCCAATCTGAATTTAGCATATGACTTTTGAGAATATGATATGGACGACCCCTTTTAAAATGAGCCTTAAACTTGCGTATTAGATCAGTGGTCCTCAACCTTGGGCCTCCAGATGTTCTTGGACTACAGCTCCCAGAAATCCTTGCTAGCAGAGGTGGTGGTGAAGGCTTCTGGGAGTTGTAGTCCAAGAACATATGGGGGTCTGAGTTTGGGGACTACTGTATTAGATCATATAGGCGGGGATCATTCGAAAACTCTTCCTGTAGGTATGGTGTGGGCAAAGTCTGGTCTTTCAGAATCATTGGACTGCAAGTCCCAGCATTGATCACCATTGGCTGTGTTGCCAAGGGCTCATGGAAGTTGTAGTCCCATAGCATCCGGAAGGCCAACCTTTGTCCACTCATGCTGCAATTGGTAGATCAAGGGAGCGCTGTGAGTGTCCCTCGGGGCATTTTTGACTGCAGCTCCCATCAGTCCTAGCCACCATCCCACTAGCCATGATTGGTGGACCATGAATTCCCCATACTGTAGATTCAAGAGTTACATTTGAACTACTGTAGTTCTTACTGCCATAAAGTATTCTATATAATTTAATTTAACCAGAATAGCTTGTTCCAGTTTAATAATAAAACTACTGTAGTTTAACTTACCAAAATCCCATGCTTTGCTCGCTTTTTGACCTGAAATTACTCAAAACAGAGGCGATGTTATTATTCCGGTTTGTTGTACTTGCAAATTTTAGACTGGGCATTTTAAATAAAGCAACATTCATGTATGATAATATCAACTCAACTTTTCATAAAGTACAACTGCTATGACTTTTATCCATATAGAGATGAAAAATCTAAATGTTATTATTTTTTTCCTGTTCTTCTGTCTATCCCACTTACTAGTCCATTCTGCCTTGACCCAATAATCTGAGCAAGTCTTTGATGTTTATTTGCCTTGCCTATATCTTGACACTCAAAAGACGGTGATGTCTTTTCAGGCTGTTTGTGGTGCGGGGTCGTCCTGCAGAGATTTTCCCAGAATTCTTTAAGAAGTGGAAGGTGACACGGCTTGCCTTCGAAGTTGACACAGAACCCTATGCAAGGCAGCGAGACGCAGAGGTGGTCAGGCTGGCCGAGGAACACGGCGTCCAAGTTGTACAGAAAGTGTCCCATACTTTGTATGATACTGAAAGGTGGGTATAGTGAACATGGGCCCTTGGAAAAGTGTCCAGAGTTAGAGGCTTCTACCAAGTAGAACTTTACTAAACACTTGTTCTTGATGGTTCCTGGTACCCCATCCTCTATTTTCTGCAGGATAATTCTAGAGAATAATGGTAAAGCACCTTTGACATATACACGACTGCAGGCCGTTGTGGCTTCCCTTGGACCCCCTAAGCGGCCAGTTCCAGCTCCTACTCTGGAAACCTTCAAGGGTGAGTATAGGAGACCATGTTAGTCTTGACTTGGTAGTTCCAGTTTCGCTTAACGAGGAAATCACTTTATGATGAGGTTTTTGCGATCGCAATTGAGATCACAAAACAATGGTTTAAATGGGGGAATTTCGCTTAGCGATGATCGGTTCCCTGCTTCAGGAACCAATTTTCACTTTACAACGATCAGCAAACAGCTGATTGTCGGGTTTCAAAATAGCTGCCGGCTGAAGAAAATGGCCCCCCGCTGTTTTCTAGGACGGATTCCTCACTTTACAGGTAGCAAAAATGGCCACCATATGGAGGATCTTTGCTGGACGAGCAGGTATTCAGCCCATTGGAACGCAATAACCGGGTTTTAATGCGTTTCAGTGGGGTTTTTTTATTTCGTTTCACGATGTTTTCCCTCTACAGTGATTTTGCTGGAACGAATTAACATCGTCAAGCGAGGCACCACTGTATTGATAAACGGCATCTCCCGCCATCATTGAGTACTAGCTTTTCTGGCTGGCCCTGATTGGTCAGTGATGAGGTGTTTGCACCGATGCAGTCAGCCAGACGTTTGAAATCATAATTGAGCTGAATGTTCTCGCTTGGTTTTGAGATGTAAACATAGCACAAAATAACATTTTCCTTCTCCTTCGCTTGATACTAAGCAAGGGGTGGACTCTTGTTAACTCCAGCTGTGCAGGGATATTTCTATTCATATACGAATACCTCCATCTCTATTTATTCATATCGATTTTTCAAGCTGATAGACCTTGTTTCTGGCCTAGATTGCAGTACGCCTGTCACAGAGGACCACGAAAAGAATTACGGCATCCCTTCTCTTGAAGAGCTGGGACAAGATCCGAAGGAAGCCGGACCTCACCTTTATCCAGGGGGAGAATCAGAAGCACTTTCGCGACTTGACTTATATATGAAGAGAACGGTAGGGTGACGGAACCTTCCCTTGCTTTTACCCACCAAATGCTTCCTTTGCAGTCCTTCGATGCTTGCATGGCATCTCTTCAAACATGCCAAGCTGTCTCACATGGATGGCTGATCATTCCTTGCCCTTCTAATGCTCAGCCTTGTTCCAGCAGTCTTAAGAGAGTTCACAGAGTCTTTGGACATGAATAAACCTGAAAAACCAAGAGGTCCTCTCTGTTTTCCTGATTCATTCATGGGATCGTGATCTCACCTATATATCAGCAAATGGCTTTCAGATTAGAGTCACACAGCAAACCAAACAAAAAGTGAAACAAAGCGTTAAAAAAGAAACACATCAATGAAATGTCAGTTAGAAAGCAAATTAAAAGCTGCAAATATTGTCAAAAGCTACTAGAGGTGGGAAGGGGTGGGGACTATAGCCCTCCAATATTTTTGGACCACAAGACCCATGATCCATCCCTAGACATGGGGATGAATATAAAAACAAATCAGGGATATTCAGTGAATTTCCCTGATTTGTCAAGATATTCGTTGCTTCGTATTCCTGAGGTTCAGAGACCCCAATGAATATGAAGCATCACGGGCTATCTTAAAAAAAATGAACCAACAAATTGATTTGTGGTTCAGGCTATCTTAAAAAAAAATGAACCAATGAACCAACAAATTGATTTGTGGTTCTTTGGACCACTAGGAAGCAATTCGTGGTTCGTCACCATCTCTATCCATCACCATTGGCTAAGTGAGTGGGAATTGCAATTCAACTAGAAAGCCTCAGCCGCTCATTTAGAGGCACAAAAAGAAACGACAGCTATGTCTGTGCTTAGAAAACAGCAGACAACAGCTGCAAATGTCTAGGGTGGGAGTTCCACAGGTCAAGCACCCTCACAGGAAACACCCTCTTTGTGAGCTGCTTGCCCAATCTCAGGAGGCGAGGTCTCCGTTGGGCATCTCTCATGAATGACGGTGGCTCCATCCTTTTTTCCTGTTGCAGTCGTGGGTGTGTAACTTCAAGAAACCCGACACTTCTCCCAACTCCTTGACTCCCAGTACCACGGTGCTCAGCCCCTACCTCAAGTTTGGGTGCCTTTCGGTACGGACATTCTGGTGGAAGCTGACGGAAGTCTATCAAGGGGTAAGGAGGGAAACTTTTGTATGCTACATTCATCACATTAATTCCTTGTTGCCTGTTTTGCTAAAAGTCTCTGGAACTCAGCAGCCATCTGGGACACCAAGGTATAATTTTTTGAAAGCACCACATCTGTCCCGTGGTTCACTCCGATAGCTGCAGATAAGCCAATACAATGATAGGCCTAACTCTAATAATTTGTTCCAAATGGAATAAACCTATTGAATCAGTGGCCAAATGATAAGTCAATGCTTATAGAATACTCTAATCTGATGTATTTATTTAATTTCTATCACGCCTATCTGGTCAAACGAGGACCACTCTACTGTAATTTTTTGAAAGCACCACATCTGTCCCATGACTCACTCCGATAGCTGCAGGTAAGCTAATACAATGATAGGCTTAATTCTAATCATTCGTTCCAAATGGAATAAACCTTTTGAATCAGTGGCCAAATGATAAGTCAACGCTTATAGAAGTCTGATGTAGACTATACTGTTACTTTGGTACCTGACCAGAGCCAGAGGGAAGATGGTTTATTAAGAAAGACTGCTTGAGATATTCATGGATTGCATACAGATAGACCCTTGTAGGCCATACTGTTACTTTGGTACCTGACCAATGAGCCATTCACCAGAGCCAGAGGGAAGACATATTCATGGATATTCATGGATTGAATATTCATGGATTGCATACAGATAGACCCTTTGATATATTTAAGAGCTATGTTACAGGATCAACAGGATCAGATTGGGTCTGCCTCACTGGATGGTACCTCTGATCATCATACTATTCTGATTATCATACAGCTCTATGTATTTTTCATAGACTAACTCAATAGTAATAATATTTATTTTACGCTCCACATCACTAATGTATAAAAACGGAAAAATAATTCATCTTCCTCTTTGGTCCTACTCTAGAGGAAACACTCAGACCCTCCCGTCTCTTTGCATGGACAGCTTCTGTGGCGAGAATTTTTCTACACAGCAGGAGCTGGCTTTCCCAACTTTGACAAGATGGAGGGCAACCCAATTTGTGTGCAGATAGACTGGGATGACAACAAGGAGTATCTTGAAGCATGGCGTGAGGTATGTTGGGCACGGTGGCAGTCCTGTTGTAGAGGAATCTGCCAAATGTTCGTGGGCTGGGAATTTCCTCACTTTCCTATAGAATCAAAGATATCCATGATTATACAGTGAATTACTGATAGAAGCACGGGTCAATAAAATAATTTTATTCTTACAAGTTAGAAAAAAGCCAGGGCTCAGCGGTGTTGCATGTAGAAGGCCTCCAGGTTCAGTTCCCAGTGACACCACATATGATTGAGAAAGAACCTATGTCTGAACTCCTGAGAGTAATGGCAAATCAGATAAAGTCATGAGTCAGATTATCAGTGCCTTACAGTCCTGATGGCTGTCGGTTATCCTGAGCCTAAGAGGCCATCCTTGGAAAAGAATACTGGATGTGTCTTTTTGCTTTGATCCAGCATGGGCCTCTTGTACCACATTTTCAGTGTAACAGGCGGTTGTTATAAGACCAATGTTCTAACCTGGCATTGCATCTTCAAATGTTCATCATCACCAGAGCAGCATGAAAGGCGAGTGTCAAATTTAGGAAAGCACATTTTATTGTAAATCGATTATACTATTCTCACATGGTGTAATACAGTAAAACTGATTTAGCAGCTTGCACCACAGCATTTAGAATCCTCCAGTCAGCAAAATAGGTTTTTGTAGTTCACTCTGAGCAAATTGTATTTGCATAAACTATCTCTACAATGGCAAATATCTCATATACTCTCTGGAACATAAGTTTTTAAATAAACACTGTTTATAACTTCCATTTGGAATGCAGCAAGAATGCATCAACATTTTGGAATCTCTGCAAACAGATGTTGACACCATTTGAGTGAGCATGTTACATTTCTAAAGAGTTTTCCCATGTTTAAATTTGCAGTGCTTAATGTCACATTAACAGCTAGGAAACAGAATTAACACAACTGTCACCTCTTCTTTTTGGCAGGGACGGACAGGGTACCCTTTCATAGACGCCATCATGACACAGCTGCGTACAGAAGGCTGGATCCATCATTTAGCACGGCATGCTGTGGCGTGCTTCCTGACACGAGGAGACCTCTGGATCTCATGGGAGGAGGGCCAAAAGGTGAAAGCAGGCTGGGGGGGGCATTGTGAAAGTACCAGAGTTCAAAATTCTGCTTGTAGCTAGAGGAAAACTGAAATAGTTAGGGGACTGGTGCAATATCAGTAACAATTGATGCCTCACAGGCCAGGCAGACAGAGTATAGGTTCTGTTAAAGAAGGATTCTCCCTTCATCCTCTTTGAACTGCTTTTAACATGATGAACAACAGAAACCACCCAGCTCTGGTTAGGATACAATGACCATCTACAAGTTACAAACAGAACCACTGGTCAGTATCCTGTTGCACATCTCATCTGTGCAGCAGAAATGATGTCATTGTTAGTAGCAGACTGCTACCAATTAAAATATTTATTTTGAGTTTTATGTGTGTTCTCTATCATTATGTAGAAGCTACATACACCACCAAATTAAAATTATCTCTCTCTCTCTCTAAATCAGCAGCAGTCTGCAGCTGCTGGTGACACTGTTTCTGTTGTGCATTCAAAAAACCCGAACAGGATAATAGCAATTACATTTAATTTAAATCAGCAGCAGTCTGTAGCTGCTGGTGACACCATTTCTGTTGTGCATTCAAAAAAACCGAACAGGATAATAGCAATTACATTTAATCCTTCTCAGCACAAAGCTTTTATCCCTCTGCTGTTTTGGTGATATATATTTCAAAGTATCTAGTTACTTTAATAGGCCTGATACACGTATTATAACTACTTAGTGGTACGTAACAGGATTAAGGGACGACAACACTTTTCCTTTCTTGCACTTTTCCTGTCTGGGTCCCGTATGGCCTTTTGTGCTCATCTGAAAGGAGGCTGTGGTTTTTTCGATGTGCATGATTTAATTGCGGTAGAAGATTGCTTTTAGAATCGTGATGCTTCCAGCTAATTTATAGCCCAGTGAATCCCAACCTTAGGTAATCCAGCTGTTCTTGGACTGCAATAACCAGAAGCCTGCACCACCAGCTGAGCTGGCCAGGGTTTCTGGGAATTGCAGTCCAAGAATATCTGGGTTACCCTACGCTGAGAACCACTGTTGTAATCAATACAAAACTGCCTTTGTGATAAGCTTTTCCAACTGGTCCTCCAGATGTTTTGGACTTTAATTCCATGTTCCCTCCCCATTAGCCACTACACTGAGACAAATTTCAGTCCAGCAGTATCTCAAAGGCACTAGCTTATCAGGGGTTGCTCTAGGAACAGGTCAGATGCTCAGGTTTCCCTGCAGCATAGGTAAAGGTAAAGGTTCCCCTTGACAATTTTTGTCCAGTCGTGTCCGACTCTAGGGGGCGGCGCTCATCCCCGTTTCTAAGCCATAGAGCCAGCATTTTGTCCGAAGACAATCTTCCGTGGTCACATGGCCAGTGTGATTTAGACACGGAACGCTGTTTACCTTCCCACCGAGGTGGTCCCTATTTATCTACTCGCATTTGCATGCTTTCGAACCGCTAGGTTGGCAGGAGCTGGGACAAGCGATGGGTGCTCATTCCGTTGCGTGGATTCGATCTTACGACTGCCGGATCTTCTGACCCTGCAGCACAGGCTTCTGCGGTTTAGCCCACAGCACCACCACGTCCCTGCAGCATAACTGATGTCTAAAGTCTGGAAAATCTACTTTTGGGGACTCCAGGTCCCAGAATTTATAACTTATTTCATTCATTTACTTATATCATTTCTAGACACTCTTTCTTCCACAAAGAAACTAAGGCAGCTCATAATAGTTAAAATAGAAGTCGAGTTAAATTACAATAAATTATTCAATCATAAAACAATTGAACAAATATAAAAATTCCAAAACCACAATAGCCATGGAATTCTAGAGATTTGGAGTAAAAGAAGTAACTGTTCTGATGTCTGTTGAACCCGGGAGATCCTGAAGGGTTTTAATCTTTTCCAAATTGCTCCATTTCAGGTTTTTGAAGAACTTCTGCTCGATGCTGATTGGTCGCTGAATGCTGGTAACTGGCAGTGGCTTTCTGCAAGTGCCTTTTTCCACCAGTTTTTCCGTGTCTACTCGCCAGTCGCCTTTGGCAAGAAAACAGACAAACATGGAGAATATATAAAGTAAGTATAGTTGTAATTTGAATATGGAATCCAAAAAAAAAAGTAGATTAGATAGGAAAGGTGTCAAGAGTGTTGTTTTTTAGGCAGTGGATGATGCAGATTTTTTTTTTCCTTTTTTTTGGTGGGGATGACAACAGTAGCCCTCAAATTGGAATTTGGCCCTCTAGCAGAGCTGAGGTTGCGTGATCCTGAATTACTGGTTAATGTCAGCCCTGCAGATCAGACTTAATATATTGCAGAGGATGCACTGAAGATGCCAAGAGAATTCAGGCTTCCATCACTCCTAACTAGCACAGCTGATGATATGAGGTGAAGTTCAACAATCCCTAGAGAGCCACATCTGCCCAGCACTGCAAAGAATTGTTTACTAGGGTCACAAGCTTTTTCATTACAACTGACTTCCTGCATTTCCTTTGCAACATGCTGTTCAGAAAATACCTCCCCTTCCTCCAGAAGTTCCCAAGTGACTATATTTATGAGCCTTGGAAAGCACCACGGAGCATCCAAGAGCAAGCAGGCTGCATCATTGGCAAAGACTACCCCCGGCCCATTGTCGTGCACGAAGAAGTCCGCAAGAGGAATCTTGAACGGATGAAAGCTGCTTATGCACGGCGATCATCAACTCTGGCTGCCCAAGCACAAGGGGACACCAGCAATAAGAAAGGTGAGTAGCACCTATGAAAACAGAGCATCTTTAAGCTTGGGTACTCGCATCCAAAATGTCCAGCAAATGGCAATGCCAAATACCTTGACACCACAGAGCATTATCAAAATAGGGATAATCTAACTCATAGTTGCTCCCTTTGTTAGAACACTGGTGCTCAGAAGAGGCACTGAGAGCAATGGTCTATGTAGCCGTAAAGACCTTGTGATTCCGCTATTGATCTCTGCATTTAGAGAGACATCCGATCCAGAAAGGGAAGAGCAGCAAATCATACAGAGACATAGCTGCAGCCTCCCTTATGGCTTGGTCTTTTGCACTGTACATCTTTACATTAAACGTCTTTGGTTGTTCAGAAGCACTGGCTGGCACACTGGCGTATACTTGCTCATTTTGGGAATTCCTGTGGATATTAATGGTGTAATATATAATTACGGGTATTAATTGTATATACTATGGGAAGTAGCTATGTGTTCTGGATCTCTTGTTTTTCCCTGCCACAGGACAGAAAGCTTTTTTTTAGGATATCAGAAAGGGCATTTGAAGGTCTACCTACCCTCAGGAGGTGATGCTATTTTTCATAGTAAATACTGGTGTTGGATTTGCAAGAATTTCAATTCTGCTTTTAGCCTCAAGACATGAACTCACAGGGTGAGCTTAGGAAGGCATGTCCCACTTAGCTTGATGATATTTGAAACAAACATCCCCATATTTCTAAAGGGTAGCATGTCAATTTAGAAGCACTGCAGATGTTTTGAACATAGTGGTGCTGAATGTTTTTTCTCCCCTAGGTGCCGATCGAAAGCGGCCCAACGCTCCCCTGAAAGCGAACGTTCAGACAAAGAAAGTAAAGATTAAAAGTGAATGAAAAGTATGCTTGAAGATGATCAAGAGCAGGACGTGCAAAATGGATGTTCTTCTCAGATCCACCAGTCCTTTCTGGTGAAAAGAAAAATGCTTTTTTCTGCTCTTTCTGCAAATGCCACTTGATAGTGTACAGTGGGGTCTTGACTTGAGAACTTAATCTGTATTGGAAGGCGGTTCTCAAGTCAAAAAGTCTGTAAGTCAAGTCTCCATTGACCTACAGTGCATTGAAAACCGATTAATCCCGTAACTGGCCGTTTTTGTTCCATTTTGGTTTTTTTCTGGTCTGTAAGTCAAATCTCAGTCTGCAAGTCAAACCTAATTTTTGCGGCCAGAGAAGTCTGTAACTCAAAAAGTCTGTAACTCAAAAAGTCTGTAAAGGGTCCACTGTACTTCTTACCATTTGAAAGAGTGCTAAAATATGTGTTTTCTACTGAGAGAAAATGCACATTGTAGCACTATTTCAAAGAGTTGAAGACATAACAAAGGGATGAAAGCCATTAATTATTATATTAAACCCTTTTGCATTTTTCTTTCCAAACAACTGATCATACGTTTGTGTGTCAATTACTATCTTTAATTCGTAAAAAAAGAATTTCAAAAAGCAGAATAAAGGAATGGAGCTGAATTGCGAGCACACAGCCGAAATGTTGGCAAGTCCAGTCCAAGTCCTCTGGGATGGAGTCCCGAGTCCAAAGTCTTGACTTGATGGGACCTCCCCTGGGGGCGCATGCACAGAAAAGGGAATCCGGAGCGAGCACATGCACATCCCCACTTGCCGCTGCTGTCTGCTACTCATCACCACTGCCTTCAGAGGCAGGCAAGCCCAGCTTCTCTTCCAGGAGCTGAGAGGCCGGTGCATGCGCAGAGGGCAGGGCCCGGCACCTGGAAGGCTGCTGCCTCCAAGGATGGTGCCGGTGGCAGGTACAGAGGTCCACAGAGACAAACAGGTCTGAGTCACAAGTCGAATTGGAGTTTTCCAAAAACACCCCAAGTTGAGTCTGAGTTGCTGGTGCAACTTAAAGTTGGACTCAACAGTGAGTTGAGACTTGCAGGTCCCCATCCCCAGGCCCACAAGGTCTCGTATCAAGCAACCAAGAGGGGAGGGTGGGGAGTAAAATACAGATCCCTCTTCTACCCCATACTTTGGAAAAAAAATTGAGGGAGGTTTTTACAGTAAATAAGTTGCCACTTAAATGTACCGTCTCCGCAAAACCAGGCCTTAAAAAAAACAACATCAGAAACGACCAACCAGTCTCTTCCTGTTTCTACAAAAGGACTTTCCTGGTCCTAAAACAGTGAAGAGAGTGGTTTACAAAAAAGAGTAACTTGCAAGGTTTCTGTGCGGCTATCATCTAAATACTGAAACATTTGTATACTGGTGTCAAGTTACACCTTAATTTCATACGCTATGCTCCACTATGTCTATATGTAGACTGTTTTCTATTTCTGAAGCTGGCTTAAATCATCCTGGTTTGCGGCTCCTGTTGCCACAGAAGCAGACAAACACCAAGATGCAATCTGAACCAATATTCTCAAGATCATCTCATTCAGGAGACTCATTCCACTTCAGTACCTGTCAAGAAGGGCCCCAGTATTAAGGTTGCCAAATATTTTGACACAGTGGCATTCTCGCAATACAAGTCAGGTGTTTGTGAAAGTGGAGGGCTGGCTGCTCCTTGTCTGGGTCACCAAACACCATCTATATCCCAGTGCTACTGTCTTGTTCAGGGACTCATAAAAACCAAGGCAAGGTATCTTTTTAAACAATTGTTGTACAAGTCCTATCAATGGCTATTAACCAAAAAAAGAGAGACCTTCATTCTCAGAGATAGTATAAAGGATAACCTAGGACTGAGATTCAGGGGAAGGTTTGCTTTTATGAGTTGTTTGTAAACTTCCTTGATGCATCTGAAAGGCTATGGCTTCAGGAAACTTTGAACTCAATACGCCCCTTGATGGAGGGGACTTAACTTAAGGTTCCTAACTTTCAGGAAGGTGAGCTAGGAAGGAAAGTGAATCCACTTGTTTATTCACATTCTCATCATTAATATGATTTCATCTTGTATCACCAGATCACACGGTAAGCTACTGGCAGTAAAATGAGATTAGCTAAAATGGCACATGCTATCATAAATCCCTAACCTAGACATGGGATGGTCTAAAGTTCCCAAACACTATAGTGAAAAGCTTGGCACCAAGACAAAGTCCAACAACAACGTCAAATGGAGAGGGCATTTCACAACTGAAGTACCATAGCCTGGATGGATTTGATTTAAGCCAAACTAATCAGAATTTTTAAAAAATGAAATGTTGACCATTTAAATAAAATATATATTTTTTAAAAAATTACCGACCTTCGCTTTGCGACCCGCCGATCAGCTGTTCCGCGGCTTTTTTCGCGCCCTTGGTAAGCAAGGGGAGCGCGCGAAAACGCTGCGGAAGCCCCGAAATGGCTGCGCGCAACCATTTCGGGGCTTCCGGCAGCATTTTCACGCGCTCCCCTTGCTTACCATTTCGGCTGTTCCGGCGGCCATTTTGGACCCGCCGGACAGCTGATCGCAGCGTTTCCGCGCCCTCGTTCAGCGAGGGGAGGGCGCGAAAATGGCTGCCGGCTATACCGGAACATCGCACAACGGTGAGTATTTGGCCAAATTGGAACGCATTAAACCCTGTTTAATGCGTTCCAATGGCTTTTTACTTTCCGTAGTGCGATGTTTTATCCAGCCTGGCCACAGCACTGTCTGAGACTTACGTCTGTACTCTGCACTCTAGCATAATCCTCTGATTAGGTTCATGGATAGTTGCTTCTCTTTCTCTTAATACAGACCTCAGCCAAGGAGGAGCAGAAGGAGTCCAAGATGAAGTAGGTGGCAAAAGGTGATATGGAGAGGAGGAAACTTACTCTTATCAGTCAACGTCCTCCCCCAATACCTAAGTTAACATAGAAGCTCTGCCAAAGGCATGTAATGCAGCAGCAGCAGCAGCAGCAGAGGAGTGGATGGAGTCGGTCATCATGAAGTTCTCTAGATGTTATGGATGGATTTCAGCTTCCAGAAGCCCCAGCTAGCATAGCAGATGACAAAGGCTGTCATCCAAAATATCTGGAGGGTCAAAGTGTTCCTTTACCAACCATTTTCAGCACTTTGATCATGACCACTTAGTAAACTGGTTGTTATAACTGACCATTATAACAAAGCCTGTAACAAAGCGTCTTTCCTGCAGAAGGCATAATCAAATGAGAGAAGTTTCTGAAACACCCACAAGGGCTGGAGCAGAACATAAAATAGGAAACGAGAGGCAAAATGGTCAGCCTGAAGGGCCATTAAGAATATTCAATCACTACACTGGTGAAGGAATTAAAATTGAAATCTTTCAACTCACCACCCAAATGGACTCCCCACTTATTTAGATGATATTCCTTTCTAGAACTTTCTCCCCTCTGAGGATTCTATCAAAAGAGAATGTCGTCAGGTCGATGGTTTTATATTGACCGTCCATGATGAGTTCAGCGATGGCTTGGCCAACTGCGGGGGACTGCTGTAATCCATGGCCGCTGAAGCCTGTGGCAAAGTACAGGTTGCTCACCAATGGGTGCGATCCAATCACCCCGTTCTGGTCAAAAGTGTTATAGTCATAGTAACCGGCCCAAGAACTCTTCACCTGTCAGAAGTAAACATCAAGCTACTGTCAATCAATGGATCCTGTCAATGAACAAAGGCAAGATTGAGGGACGTGTGGATGAACCTAAAAGGCCCAAGGTGTTAAGAAAAAGAAAAAAGGCAGCCATTCGTGAACAGTCAAATGGGCCAATCTAATCCAATCTAATCCTAATTAAATACAGTAGTAGTCTGGTTAAGGATCGAAATGCACACCTCTGTGAGGAAGCCGGTCTCTTTGCCTTCCATCCATGGGATTTTACCAGGAAAGGCAGTGAATGAAAGTAACTTTTGTCACAACTTCCTTCCCAATACTTTCAAGGAGTTCTGCGTACTCCATTTCCCAGCAGTGGCAAAGCCCCTGGAGACGAAATGTAGCAGACTGCGCTACAGCTGTGGCTCCCAACCTTTGGCAACCCAGGTGTTCCCAGACTCCAACTCCCAGAAACCCTTTTCACTAGCTGTGATGGCCGGGGTTTCTGGGAAATACAGTCCAAGAACACCTGAGTTACCCAAGGTTGGGAACCACTGCGACTACAGGGAGAAAAAAATTACACACAAACTTTGGGCAACAAGAATAAAACTTTCAAATTTGTTTATTTCAGAGGGGCAACATTTCAGAGATTTTATTCGTGGATACTGGACTCGTACAAAAATGTGTACCCCTTGTGAACCATGCTGAAATGTTAATATGTTGATTACATATTCTGATGATATTGCTACTTTTGCTGCAGGAGAGGCTGGGAAGAGAGGATAGATAACAATTACTTTTGCATTGCATGTATGAATACCTAGAAATAGTGGGTTCTTTTTATCACACCCACCCTGTCACTTAAAGATATTAAGAGAAGGGTAACTCTTCAACCTCCTTCCAATCATTACTTTACCTTCAGTGATTCAAAGCTTGGCACTCGGTGGGCCAGCTTCGGCCACACTTTCTCCTGGAAGAACTCATGATCTACTTCCAGGTTTTGGATATCTGGTTCTTCCTCCTGAGAGCAAATGAAGACACTGTCACCTAAACAGATAACATATTGGAGACACTGGAATGTAAGTGTCCATCTAAGGGCATTGGCAGTAGAAAGCTTTGTTTGCCCTTTCCATCTCTTCTAGAAAGCAGGTGCTGTAAGGCTTTTCCTCTCAAGAAGGTGGGAAAAGAGACTTAGAAGAGGAAAGTCCCAAATAGCCGCATGAAGCTCAGGTAGGCGCTAGGGATGCTGAAGATGCTCAACCATCCAACAGTCACTCTGGTGTACTGGTAAGTGTGTTGGATTTCAAATACGTTTTATTCATATGAGGACAATGTTTATTTCCTGTGATTACCACATTTTTTCCTCTAGTGACAGGATTTCCTTAGAGATTTATGCGTCAATTATCAAACTTGAAAAGTTAGCTTGTGCATACCATTCAAAGACCAATCACAAAACAAAGCAGAGCTCCATGTAAGATACAAAGGTGAGGAAAATCACAGGCTACGACAAACATTTTCCACCCTTTGAAGGAGTTGCACTTCTAAATATATGGTAAACATGTTTACTTTGATTCTGGGGAACTTTGTATTCAAATCCTTGCTCAGCTACAATAGTTACTGGTTTATTCTCTCAAATCTCAGACTGCCATAGAATTGTTGAGAAAGTAAAAAGCGTGTAGAGACGGTATACATACACACATGCATATATGATACATACATACATTATACATACAGAGAATGACATATGTACTCCTAAACCCTTTGGGGAGGCAGAATGATGAGTTTGGAGTATTTTACTAGCTTCATAAACAAACAATTAAAAAAACAAGCCACTTGCTTCTGTGATATTCTTATGAGACAGCCTCCCTCCAGCTCAGTGAAAGAACATCAGAATTGCCAAATCCTCTTTGTTTAGGGGCTGTCGTCTCTCATTACACGCACACACACACAGTAAACTCACTTCTGAAGGGCTGCAGCCTCCAACGTAGTTGCCACCCAAACCTTCCCTTCGGAAGTAAGCTCCTGTCGTGTCAATTACAAAAGGGCACCCCAAGCCAGGCCCATCAGGGCAGTGGAACACATAGACATATCTAGGGGAAGGATAAAGAGAGAAGCATTTGATCCAGAATTGTAATAATAATGTAATGTAATCATAATTATCTTAGAACTGCAGAGCTAGAAGGGACCCTGTGCATCATCAAGTCCAGCCCGTCAAAGAGGCACAGAGGGGAACTGAATTCGCGGCTTCTTGTTCCACAGCCAGGTACCTAAACCAATGCTTCACTCCAATGTATCAACATTTCTCTTGTAAATTCTATGCCCATGGAAAGAGCTGCCTTTCATTAAATCCTTAGATTAAATCCACTGGTCCACCTAGCCTGGTTCTGGTTTATCCAGGCATGTGGAGACATGAGGCCTTCCCGGTGCTGTCAGATTGTGATGTAGTGGTTAAAATGTTGCACAGACGTGGGAGAACCAGGTTCGATTTCCTGCCACCCACCCCATAAGCCATGAAATTTGGCGAGTGATTTTGGGATGATTGCTCTCCATCAGCCTGACATTCACAGGACTGTTGGAAAGACAGGAGTACCAGGACACACTGCCCTGAGCTGAAAGAAGAATGAGTGGGACATACATCTACACGATAAAGAAATAAAACGGATAAACTCCAGAAAGCATAATCAAGGATGACAGCAGTCCAGCAACACCTGGAGAGCCACTTCATCTCTAATCATCATCACATGCTATCAAGTCAATTCTGATTTATGGTGAGTCAGTGGCCCTTTCCAGTTTTCTAGTTTAGGGAAGTCAGAGGTGGTTTACCACGGCCTTCTTCTGGGTCCCCCCGGGTCTGTGCAGCTTGCTCAAGGCTACACAGGCTGGCTCTTGTCTTGAAAGACACCGGAGAATCAAAGCCCTAACCCATGTCAGTGAGTTATTCTATAGTTGAGACTCTCCAAAGTGTGTGGCCAAAGTTCTCTTCCTAAAGCTACAACTGAAGATCCATTCAAGGAGATTTTAGGGACCTGCGCTAATTATGGAGGTATTTACCATCTTTCCTTTCTGTGGGACTTAGGAAAGAAGGCAAGAGTCACTCTGCTGATTGCATTTTAGCAAAGTCCTGCCAGATTTCTCTTTATGTAATTAGGCTCTGGCTGTGGCTGTTGTGTAATGACTGAGATTTAGAGCTGTTTAGAGCTCTAAATAGCTAATGAAACACAAAGGGAAACACTATGGCTGGGTGGATAGATTGACAGACGAGGCTTCAGGAGACCAGGGTTCAAATCCCCACTCAGCCATGGGAACTCATGGGTGAAGGTGGCAGGTATTTGTAGAACCACTCCTTTAATTAGAGCGACGGCAAGTCAGACGAGAGTTCCCTGTACATACCACACACAACACAAAAGCTGAGACACTTCTGAAAAGTTGGCTTTTGAAGATGAAATAGAAAGGAACAGAGAAACAGCAACAGGTAGCTGTTTTGGAAGCGAGAGCCAGGCAGGCTACCCGTACAGGACAGAAAATAAAGAACCTGTTGCACAATTTTAGGTGCTCTCCTGCCTCTTCAACGTTACACTGATTGCAGCTAAGGGAAGCCATCGTCTGCAACACCTGGAGAACCATCAAATTCCTGACCTCTGCTTTTAAAGTGTAAGAAGCTGAGGCTCATCATGACTGGCTTAACCTATCCTTAGCCTCAACTAGAGTAGATCCACTGAAGCCAGCAGGGGTCAGCCATCACTTATGCAAGCCCCACCCCTTTCATATTTAAGTCTTAAAATATACGCCTATCTTTTCTGAGACAAAAAGAGGGGACATTATGTATTATGTTCAATAGAGCAAGAACTGATCTGCTTGTTGTCTGCATGTTGTCCATGAATTAGTGACCTCCTGAGTTTAACCACACCTTTTCCTGGGTTCCACGGGCAACTTGATTCCTGACAGCGTGCCTGGCTGCCCGGTCCCAATCCTGGCCATTTCTGCCACTTTGCCTGACCAGGCACCTGCCGTATTCACCACCATGCCAGAAGAAACTGTGGCAGATTCAAAAATGTAGGGAATCCAGATCTAGGAAATGGCATAGGAGGGAAGAATTTTAAGTTGTACGCCCAGGTGTTCAAAAAAAAAGCCAGCAGGGTGTCTTTGTGACAAAAACAGGAGAAGAGACAAGCAAGATTTTTTTTTTAAAAAAAGCACTAATTCAAACATTTCCTGCACCTCAAAAGTGGCATCTTGCATTCCAATTTTGTCTGCCTCATAAAAGGGTAGACTGGCCATTTCCAGCTTGGCCTGTTTGCGTGGCTTTGCCTGCTGTTTTTTCAAATCACATTTGCCAATGAAAGAGAAGAAAACAGCAGAGCATGCTGCCAGAAACCATGACCCGCGTGTATTTTCAGTGTGCCTGCACAGCAGCCCAAGCCAATATGAATCTTGGCTCACACAGAAGATTAGGGGTGGAAAAATGAAGAGACAATATTGTTAAGTTCTTTTGGAAATTGTGCCATTGTACCACACACACTGCAAGGTCACTTTTCTCTGTCTAGAGGCAGCCTGTGTGTTGCAATGGTTGAAGGGCAGGACCCCGGCCATTGCAACACCATTCGGACTCAGACCCAACTGCGGCAGCTGAACAAAGGACTTACTTTAACACTCTTGATGCGAGAGAGCAAAGCATTCTCCCCATCAGCGGTTATCATTTCTGTGGACTCCAGGGAGAAAGCTGTAGGGAGCAGAGAGTCAAACATACAGCAGCAGTTCTAGTTAGCTCCTTATGGATCTTAAAAAACAGCATTGTATGGGGAGAGCTACAGATCAATAAATAGATGCTTTGCACGTAGCCAGACCTACATTTAATTCCTGGTGCTTATAGATATGGTTGGAAAAACTGTTGCCTGAAGCCCTGAAGAGCCTGTAGAAGTTCATGTCAACAATACTGGGCTAAAAGAACCAACGGTCTGACCCCCTACATGCAATAAATACAATTGGTAACTGTTCCCTTGACTTAAGAACAAAAACACAAATAGATTTCTCTTTCAGGGTTGGGCAAACTGCAGCCTGCCAGATGTTGTTGGAACTGCAGCTCCCATCAATAGGCAACACAGCCAATGGTGAAGAATACTGGGAGTTATAGTGCAACAAATAGCTCAGTGGTTTTGATACAGGCTGGACTCAATGATCCATAGGGTCCATTCCAGCTCTGCAGTTCCAAGATTATTGTTATTAGATCATTAAACATCTAGATGGATGCACTTTTCTCCTAATCTAGTCCATCATTATCATTCCTAAGTACCAAACCTGTATCATTCTGCAGAAAGGGTACGATTGTAAGGCCTTTTTAAAATTGGGTTGGGGGGGGAGGAGAAACAAAAAATGCTAACATCCATTCGATTCATATTGCAATATCAAGATTCAAACTCTGCTATTCTATTTTCTGCCTTCCCTATTTTAATTCACATTTTGATCTATGTTATACCTTCCCTATTTTAGTTCACATTTTGATCTATGTTATTCGAGCACTATCTGATGACTCTAGCCATTTGTGGAATAAGCCCCATCTTTTTGTTGCCTTTTGTAATGGATAGTTCTTCATCACTTCTGATAAGTTGTCCATTTCTGCCGTTGCCTTTACCATCTCCATAAGATCTTGTTTCAGTACCACCTGACTTTTCCAATTTTTAGCATAAGGAATTCTAGCTGAGGTAACTACATATATATAACTATACATTTCTTTGCTTTATCTAGTGGTGTGCTTGATTCATGCACCCGATGCACACTGACTCTGAACTAAAATATATACTTCTTCTGAAAGCAATAAATGGAGAAGAACAAAGTGCTTTACTCAGACACTGTTGTGGCTGAGCCTAAATTTTCCCCTTACTCCTGGTAACTTCAATTTAAAGAGAGCAGATTTTGCCCTTTAAGTCTCTTGCCAATTCAATTCTGTTTGCTTTGTCTAGAACAGTGGTTTCAAACCTTGGGTAACCCGAATGTTGTTGGGCTACAATTCCCAGAAACCTTCACCACTTGGAATGGCAGCCCAAGAACCGCTGGGTCACCCAAGGTTGGGAACCACTGGTCTAGAACATGTTAGTAGGCCAGCCTAAACTAAGTTTGCTCTTAGCAGATCTGTTTCTGAGCTTTGTTTCCAGCGATCCCAACCTCCACATCTCTGTCACTAAATCTGCTAGATTTCCAGAAACTGGGCACAGATTGTTTTACGTACCACAAAAAGGGCTTCAACAAGTGTCCTTCAATTTGTTTACTTCAGCCTCTCTAACTGCAGGTAAGCAAGAATGATAAGTCAAAGTGGCCAATCCCTTTGAAGTTGTAAAGCCCACCCACGAGTCTGACTGGAAGCTGACTCTCTCCTGGACAGCAGGGATGTCTGATATCTTCAAAAGCAGACATGGGAAACAGTGGCCCTTGCACATGTTGCACAGCAACTCCCAACATCTTTGCACTATCATCTATCATGGCTAGGGCTGATTAGAACATCATCAAGAGGGCCACATGTATCATGTACCTGGCTCAAAAGCATTGCAGGCAAGAGAATAAATATCCACCAGATACAATTAAGTGACTTTTGAGGAACTCCAAATTCTCCGTATATTTTGGTTCTACTGGCTGCTCTACAGATTTTAAGGGAGATAAAACAGTTTGCTGTTGATACCACGAAGAGGAAAACTCACAAGTCACTTCTCCACAGTACTCAAGGGCACCCAAAGATTTGGCTTTTCTCTTGAAGGCATTCAGTAGGGTCCAAGGATCAAACCATTCCTCTTTCTCCAAGCCTAAAGGGAGAGACAGTGTACAATGCAAGAAGAAAAATACTGCTTAAAGGTCTTGGTATTTAAACCTTTGCAAATTACAAAAGGTTTTGTGGAAAACATTCACAGCAGACGAGTGAATTCCTAAGGAACTGACAAGAATCCTAACACTGTGCAAGTCACTGTACGTGCTCAGTAGGTGCAGCTGCAACAAAATTTGTTCTTTTCTGCCCAGATCTCCCTCTAAACTTTGTCAACATCACAAAATGAAATATAAGAGCAATGACTACACATCTTTGGATACAGAAGGCAATAATTGGGGAGGGCATGGAGGCTTAGGTTGGCACCCATCAGGAATAAGCCTCAGACTTTTACATAAGCTAACAGTGCTATTATTATGCTTTCAGACAAATAAAGGTGTAATGGCCCAGTACCAAAGGAAGCCAAAGCTACATCATCTGTTTTCATCCATGGATATTTCTTTTTCAGTTGCTCTGGTGACATAAGGAAGACCTTTGCACCCTCCTCCCTGAAAAATAATAAAAAAGATTTTTTAAAACATGGTGATAACCCTCGACAAGCACTAGAGAAAAGGGCAGTGTTTAATCAGTAACTGGTCAACTAAACAGTTGCTCAAGTTAATCCAGTGAATCTGTTGGTCCAATGGAGAACATCTCCTGAACCTCCTGAGTCCATGATAATATCTGCTAGATAAATTTTATATTAATTAATGATTTTTATTTTACTTGACTGATATGTTTATTTGATTTTTATATGGTAACTATGTTTTGTGGCTGTTATTTATTCTGTTATGGTTCATTTTGCTGTGAACTGTAGCCAGATGGGTCGTATAAAAATTGAATGGAATTAATATATGACTAAATTAGAGCACTGCCAGTTCATATTTGCTAAAAACGCACATTTCATCTCATTAAAAATGGAAATTGGGGGGGGGGCAAGGGGAGAGTAATAGTGGCTGATTATCTCTCACTCCACCATTAAATTTTTTTAATAAAAAGTCATGCTTACAAAGTGATTTAGTTTGTATATTTCAGCATCTAATACATTTCAATTCCAACTATATTTTTTGAATATGAAGAACCAATCAATATGAGGAATGAACTGTGTGGTATTTTACACAAAAGGAAAAACAGAGGAAAAATTACATATGGCAGTCAAATTTTGCCTGCTAAAATAATGGGCTCAAATTACAAGATCTTGACTGAATATCAGGAAAAAAAATCTAACCGTTAAGAGTAGTGTGACAATGGAACTATAGTATTGCCAATGACCTTATTCATAAAACGTCTAGGCCACTGCCCTGTCTCCCATCAGTCTCATTCACCTCCTGGCATTGCCAAAGATCCATACCTTTGAATTTTCACATTTTCTTCCAGCACTGCGGCTCCTTCTTCTGAAGCCAAAAAGAGATAGCCAGAAGGATTAAATTGAATATCTATAGGAGGCTCACCGGCAACATGAAGATAGTCCTAGAACCAAAAGACAGTCTGCTTGCACTGTAACGTTTACTGTTGTCAGGCAGGGATGAAATGGGAATTAGTAAAATGAGAGCTCAAAGAGCATCACTACACAGCCATGGTTGTGAAAAAGGCAGGCCATTTTTGTCTCCCTCATACTATACTGAAAAATAGTAACTTGCCAAAAGAAGATCTACACCGGCTGAGCTGTCACTCTCAGTGTGAACATTCCAACTATGTTTACTAAGAATTAAGCCAGAAAGAGTCCAGTAAGACTTCCTGCGGGAAGTGTGCTTAGGACTGCACCCTTGGCTTTTCCCAGCCTTAAACCTACTCAGGTGTGTTGCGCTACAAATCCCACAAAGGCCCAAACAGCCTTCAGGGTTGTGGCATTTTTAAGAATCTAGAAGGAACCAGATCAAGGAAGCAGCTTAAACTCACAGAACAGCACTACTGAAGAAACCAAAATCGAAACATGCCATTTGCTGCCAGCGGCATCAATGTACTCATGCTATTTTCTGCCACTCCTACCCATTTGCTGACAATACTTAAAATTAACAAATTAAAGATGTCCTGAAGTACTCTTCACATAGTTTAGATTTTTAAAAAATGTACACAACAGTTACTGGATGGGTTAAATCCTTCTTACTATCGTTTCAACCTTGATTCTCTGACTGGAGCTACGGATGCACAGAAAGGAGCAGGATGACTTTACCCTGTACTCTTGTGAGAACAGTCTGCCTGTGATCCATGTAACTAGCAGGTACTACTAACTATAAAACCTACCTCCAAAAGTAAGTGACAGTCAGTAGTAGTATTAGAAAGGTTCAGAAAGGCTTGCTGGAGTTCAAAACAAAAAGACATTTTCTAATTAAGGCACAAAAGGAACTGGAGGTGGAACCAGGAGGCAACCTCTTAATCCAGTAACAAGACTTTGTTTGTCTCTGGCAATGCTCAGTAGATATCCCTCTCTTTCTCTAGAGCATCCAAAACTCTTTTCAATGCACAGGCACAGCATGGAATGTATCTGATGAAAAGCAGACGTCTCAAGAAGACTGGTTGCACCATGATTCCTCACTCACTCGGCCTTGCCATCACTGCATCCAAGACATCAAAGGAACTGCATGAACACAGTCCTGTCTTCTCATCTCCTTTAAAAAAACAACAACACCTAACACTTTATCTTCCTGATCCTAAGAACACACTGAGGCTGGTCCCAGTATCAGCGAATTACAAAAGCAGGAGTGATGTCCTTAATTCCAAAAGATCAGGAAAACACCCAATCAGCATGACCTACGTTGATTAAGCGCAAGAAGTGTGCAGAGAACTGGGTCATTCGGATGTTTTCTGGCAATGAATACTGCAGCCGTATTCCCCCCACTGAGAGTACTGTAGATGCTTCAGAGTACTGTAATTGAGAAAGAAAACAAACAAGGCATGATTCACTATGGAGTAAAAAAAATTCTTTGACATATTTCAGAATGAGGGCACACAGGATCCAAAGGCAAGAGAAAATAAAGAATGACGACTCACACTGAGGTCCCTTTCAACCACCAACACCTTCAGGCCACTACGCCATGATTCTTTTTTCTTCAGCCAGTAAGCAATGGACCAGCCCATTACCCCGCCACCAATTATGACGACATCAGCCTCGTCTGGAGGAAATTCAACTGAAGCAGGATGTGGGCTCCAGGCATTGCCAGGAAGGGCCTCTTTCAAGTTCTTACCAAACTTCTTAAATTCCTTGCTTATCTCTGAAAAAAGAAATACACACAGAGAAGAAAAGTCATCTAAGACCACAACTGTACTCAGTGGCTGAAATCCAGTAGTAAGTTGCAGCTAGACTAGGCTCATTGAATCAATGGGGATTTGATGAGTCAATAAGTTCCACTGATTCAATGAGCATATTGCAGATACAATTTATTACTCAATTTCAGCCAATGAATTCTATAAGGAATTGTCAGCTCTTCTTATAGTATTCATCTGCATTTTTAAAGCTTCCCATCTTTGGGGATGGTTGATAACTCAGTGGTTTAGAAATCTGGTGGCAGAACCAGAGGATGGGATTTGATTCCTCACTATGCCTCTTGGGACAAAAGCCAGCCTTAGTCATGGACAAACTGCACAGTCGGGGGGTGGGGGGCGCAGAAGCAGTGATTAACCATTTTCAAATATTCTATACCCAGAAAACCCTAGAAAGGTTCACCATGTCAATTCAACTTTATGACACACAATTATTAATTTTTATCTTTGGGGAACACTATACATATGGATTTGTCTGTTGAGAAAATCATTGGACACCCACCCGAGAAATCTTCCCTGTTGGAAAGATTCAGAGGACAGTTCTAGGAATCAATCACCATTTCTGCAGGGTTTCACCCCAATCTACTGAATGTTCTTAGAACTCCATGTGAACCAAGAATTCTTGTAAGAACAGGGATAGGAAATGTGTGGCCCTCCAAATGGGGACAAATTGCAACCCTCATTATTCTTCATCACTAGTTATGTTTGTCCCAAAACAGCTGGAGGGCCACAGGCTCCAAACCCTGCTTTAGAAAAATACCAACTGCTTCTCTGCAACAACACTTTGGAACACCTGACAGTATTGGACAAGCCAACTTTCAAAGAAGCATGCCCATCACTCCCAATGTTCTCATCAAGAAAAACCTTCTCTAAAGCTCCAACATGTGTCCAGCGTATTCTAAATTAGAAGTACTACAAATGGCTTCCTAAATGGTTTACAACCTTTTCCGAACCACGGACTAGTTGGGGCGGCAGGGTCTGTGGGGGGGGAACCCACCGCACTCACGGGTGGGCAGCATTCGCTTGCAGGGAAGGGTGCGCTTGCGTGGGGCACGATTGCAGGGGGTGTAGGGCATCTGTGCATGCGGGCCATGCGTGTGTGTGTGTGCATGCAGGGGGTGGGTGGGAGATCTGTCTCTGCGGCCCTGTCCTGCCAAGGCCACAGACCGGAACTGGGCCACAAAGTGGGGGGTATGGAACCCCTGGTTTTAAAAAAAATAAACTATTACATACTGCATCCATATTAAAATTAACTTTACCTTCTGAGAGGAAGCACAAAAGGAAAGTGATTTAATTATGAGTAATTGCTACTGTGTGCCACCCCTTTCTCCAGGGAACACAGAGTCGCATTTTAGTACTACAGCTACCGTAGGATATATATTATGTTCAGGGACAGAGAGATCAATCAAGTACCATTCACTATCTAAGCTTCAGAGCTACACAGAATTTTAAACCTGCATTCCCACTCTTTTTGTCACTGGGCCTCCCAACCCAATAGGGCATTTTGATTCCCATAAAGCCAAAACTTAAAAGCAACTCTGGCAACTCCCCATGGATGTGCACTTTGAGCCCCAGTGATGGGAATGTTCACCTCACCCTTGGCTGTTCCAAGTTCTAAGCATTTAGGAACAGATGAAGCACTTGGAATGCAGTGTCTGCAAATCTTTACCCAGTTTGTATCATTATTAATCAGTTTTAAAATCACTGCCTGTTAATCAGGAAACTTTTTTTAAAAAAACACCAGAAAGGCCTATCAAAGTCCAGCAGTTTCTTCTTACAGCAGGGACCTAGATGCCTGTGGGAAGCCCCAAAATACCACATGATTAGTACAGTGTCCTTCCTTTAAAAGCTTATAAAAACATAAGTGACTGGGTATCACCTTAGAACAGATATTTCCTCAACATATAAACAGTTGGAAATTAAAATGTAATTGACTGATGCAGCCATCCAGAACATGTTGATTAGACAGCAAAAAACCTTTGAACTGACAGGAACTTTTGAGCAAAGGTAGTGCTTTTTTTCCAATTTCACATGACATGGGTATAACTATATTAGTTTGTAAGGACAAGAAAAGTATTTCTACATTTTTTCCCACAGTGTATACTCATATACGGTATATCTACGCATAAGTGAATGTGCATATGCATTACACTGCAGTTTTAGAAGTAACCATGATAGTCTGCCCAGGCATATCAGGCAAAAACAAAAGAATAAAAAGTTTAAAAAGACAAAAACATAGTGGTACCTTAAAGACTGTTATATCTTAGAGGAGGTACCCATGTTAGTCTGTGCAAGGATTTCAAATAAAAACAGAAGAAAAATTTAAAAATAAAAGAACAAATGAGAAAGAAAAAAATATGCTGGTACTTCAAATATTGGTATATTTTAAATGTGAACATGTCAACTCCTTAGATGCAAGATAAATGTCTTTACCAGGCCCATATTTCAGAATAAGGCTGAAAGGTATATTCTAGTCGTGCTGGCCACACAAAAACAGAAGAAAATTTTAAAAATAAAAGAACAAATGAGAAGGAAAAAAATATGTTGGTACTTCAAATATTGTTATATTTTAAATGTGAACATGTCAACTCCTTAGATGCGAGATAAATGTCTCTACCAGGCCCATATTTCAGAACAAGGCTGAAAGGTATATTCTAGTCGTGCTGGCCACGTGACCACGGAAACTGTCTACGGACAAACGCTGGCTCTACGGCTTGGAAACGGGGATGAGCACCATGCTCTAGAGTCGGACACGACTGGACTAAATGTCAAGGGGAACCTTTACCAAAGGTATATTTGGTGATTCTCTATATCAGCGATGGCGAACCTATGGCTTGGGTGCCACGGCTGGCACGCAGAGCCCTATCTGTGGGCATGCGAGCCATAAGTTGATGGATCACTACCGCTGGCAGCCAAATAGGAGGCTGCAGCCGCGGTGCTAGCACCACGATAGCCAGTGGGGCCAGGATCCTGAGCAGCTGGCAGGGTTGGGCACAACTGGTGGCGGATCCAGAGTGGGGTCTGGAGGCACCTCTACCCGGGATCCCCCCTTCCGCCCACCAGTTGTTGTTTTTTTCCCAGTTTGGGCAGTCGGGCTCAAAAAAGGTTCGCCATCACTGCTCTATATGAATATACACTGTTCCTGTTGTTCCTTTTCACCACGCTACTTACAGATGGTCTTTAATTTCTCTCTCTCTCTGCTTTTGCGTCTCTTGATGGAATGTTTTCAGAACTGGGCTTCAAAAGAGCTCAATACTAAACAGAGATGATCACAAATTATCGCACATGTGAGATGCAACCGTCTACCACTCTCGGTCCATTTTCCTGCGTGATCACCGTATTCCACCTCGTATGTCTGAAGAAGCCGATAAAGAAGGCCCACAACAGCTTACATTAAAATATAACAGTTTGGGTGCCACTACATATTTGCCTTCCCACACTTTTGTTTTTTATTTATTTATTTTATAAGCTGCTCACACTACCCAAAGGTCTCTGGCTAGTTTGATATGCATTATATTAATGCCTTACAGCTATTTTATTTTAATAAAACTTAAATCCTTTGCCCTGGAGGGCTACCTTCTTCCCCTAAACGTTAAAGGCAAGCATTTTAAACTCGACTACACTCCTGAGGCGACTTGCCCTCAAGAAGACGTTACTCCCTCCGTGCAAACGTTTACAGGCCAAACCGGGTGACGGGGTACGTCCAGTCAAGCGGGGCCATTTCCCCCCTCATGGTCCAAGTCCTCCTGCCAGCCCTCGCCTCAGAAAGGGCTCCTCCGAGCGGGTCAGGGGAAGAAAACCGCCAGAAAACGCCACCCACCACCCCCAAACCCCCCTCACAAAATCCCCTCCTTTCCTGAATTGGGGGTGAGAGACTTGCAGTCTTGGTGGAAGGAGGGAAGGACTTTGGCCTGAGGGCTTCAGACGCAAATCCTGGAGGATGAAAAACAACAACCCCGCGAGGGAGGCGCCACTGAGAGAAAACAACGGGCACCCCCCCTGTAGCCGCTCCTCACCTTGGAAGGGGTCGAGGGGCCTGCCGGGGCTGGCACGGAAGGGCCTCCGGGGCTCCCTCGGCGGTGCCGAGAGCCGTAGCGGCGTCCGCGGGGCCGCCGCCGCCACGGAATACAAGCCCCGGCAGCGGATCATGCCGCCGCCGCTCTTGCCGCCCTTCAAGTGAATGGGAACCTCAACGCGCAAGCGCAAACCACACGACGAG